CTTCTCCAAATCCAAACTCGACTAATAAATTCCCTGCACATATGCAACCAGCGTGGAATGCCTTAATGAACCTGCGCCAATCGGTTTTTGAGTTCTTACGAGATATATCCTCTACGGTGAGAAGAATTATCATAGTTCACGACTCTCTTATGGGCAACATAGTTCAGGATATTGCAACAATTCCAAATGTAGAGTCCTATGTATTTAACTGCACCTCAACGTTCACACAGGTCTCATATGTATGGGAAGGGATTGGCAAACCGTTCCCAGAAGAACTACCAAAACAGTTGCCCTCTTGGGAAGGATGTTCAACCAATGAACTTAAAGAATTTGCAGTTTTGCAGATTAAGCATTTAGATATTAGAGCTGGAGATATATACAATACCAGTATAATTATAGAAGGAACTTATGTTGATCTATTGGCAAGGGAAGAGGTTGTTGGGAGCCGGAAGGCATGGGCAGTTGGACCAATTCTTCCATTGAAGTTATTCTCGAATAGCCAGCATAAGTGTTTAGAAAGGCTTGACAAAAAAGATCCAAAATATGTTATCTACATATCTTTTGGGACGACAGTTTCAATGTCAGATAAAGAAATCAACAAGCTCGCGCTGGGGTTAGAACAGAGCAAACAGAATTTTCTTTGGGTTCTGAGAGATGCGGATAAAGGAGATGTGCTCGAAGGAGAAGTTAGACGAGCTAAGTTACTTGACGGGTTTGAGAAGAGAACACGAGGAGTGGGAATGGTGGTGAGAGATTGGGCACCACAACTAGAAATTCTGGCTCATCCATCTACTTGTGGATTTATGAGTCATTGTGGATGGAATTCTTGCAAAGAAAGTATTACAATGGGAGTGCCAATAGCAGCCTGGCCAATGCACTCCGATCAGCCAAGAAACGCCATGTTCATAACATATATGTTGAAGATCGATATTCTTGCAAGAGAATGGACACAGCACGGTAAACTAGTGAAAGCATTGATGATTGAGAACGTTGTGAGAAGACTGATGGCATCAGACGAAGGAATTGAGATAAGGAAGAAGGCAGAAGAAGTTGCTGATGCTGTTAGGATGTCAACTGAGGCAGGTGGCGTGTCTTGAAAGGAATTGGATTCATTCATTGCCCATATCACTAGATAGAGCAATTTTCAGTTTAACATACATGTTGACAAAATAACTTTTAAAATCATATTTGACAAAATAAGTTAACCACAACCACACATGTTGCAGGTCACATTGTTCACACATTCAGCAGGTTGTAAAATGAGTTCTCAAGTAGAATAAGAGTTTCCACGTCCATATATACACACATATAAAAACTCCCCGAAAAAATAAAAAAGCTTACCTCAATGAAAAATAAGCTTTTAGCTGCCAAAGGGACATTGAAACCATCAAATAAATAGTTCAAGCAAATTCCAAAATTGCTCGTTCATTACTATCTACTTTTAAAGAAAAAGAAATTATAGTAATCTTGTATCGTATCTGTGTGTGTCTCCTCCTTGCCATAAGAACTGCAACTTTAGGTAATTGAACCATTTTGAATTCCAAAACATATAAAATCAAAAGCATTCCATTTTACTTGAATTCAAAATGTAATATTACTAAATCAACATATTGATGATAAATGCAGTACATCAAGCTTTTGTTCAGGCACTCATTATATTCTAAAAAATTATATATACCAAGGTTTTCCTATGCAATTATGGGTCAATAACTCTAAATATCGTTAAAAAATTCATACCTAGGGATAGAAAAGTAAGATATTGGTTCCTGGGATTGAAATTGGTGAATAGCTTTTATGAAGTGGCGACTCGCGACAATGGCGATACCGATTCACTGTAGTATATGAACTCTGTAATTCGTGAAAGAAGAAGATAAGAAGAGATCGAGGGACGGGGCTGATTATATTGAATCGTGTTGGGGGATTCGAAGGGAAAGAACCCGTTGTGTGGCGTTCCCGTTCGGGAGAGAAGAATTGACGGGAATGGGGAAATCTAGGGTTGAAAGGGTTTGAATCGATTTTGGGAATATGAGGGGAAATTGTGTAGTGTTGAATTAGGGTAATTCATGTAGTTTATTAATTTTAATTTAAAATATTTATTTTAAAATTTTTACTCTGGTCAAAGGCTAAAATAGCAAATTGTATTATGAAAGGGGTTATTTGACCCAATTTCCACTTTTTTATTACCTTTATGCATTGAATCACTAATCACTACATATATGCTACATAGGATGACTATGATAATGAACGACTACAAATACCATTATTCTTAAAAATTGTTGTTGACCTCAACAATGCACCAATACTTGTGTACGACCTCTCTTCACACAAGCATCACCGGAACACTTGAATACCCCATTAGAAGTCAAAGGCCACAGGTCAAGAAAAGAAAGAGAAGATCGTTTGCATTTTGAAGGTCAAGTCAACGGTCGGACAATAGAAATATGAGTGTAAGAGAGGGAAAGGAGATTTGGCTATAGTTCGAAAACATGCCTTCGATTGTGAATGAAACTTACATGTATATAGGAAAATATAAAATGGCCCAAGTGTTACTAGTGGGCAAAGTTCAAAGCCTCGGGCAAGGCTTCTTGATTTAATATGCCCAATCAAATTAAATAGTCGATGTCATGTCAACATATATGGGACTCCCTTCATGTTCATATCACGTAATTTATAGGTAGTCCACAAGTTTGAGTCGTACATTCACGTACAGGTCAGACTTTGAAATATAAGCTATCAACCAGGCGAAGTCTTATAAATTGCTTCAAAAATATAAATAGCTCCGATAAACGAGGTTTTAAGAACTGTCTCAAAAATATGCATTGATTCCAAATAGGCTAG